TCCAATATCCTTTGCTTGACCAGGACCTTTGCTTGATCTAAGGGCATTTTTAAGAGAAACTCTGTAGTAACTTCAGATACTTCATTTAATATTATCTTAATATAATAATTTTCTAGGCGTATTGGCCGTTTACAGCTTTCCCATTGGCTGTGCAGTGCGCTCCATGAGACATTGTCCTGTCAACCACCACTCAAGAGTACTCATGTGCCATTGGCTGGGTGCTAGGTCCACTACTCTTCCCCGCCCACTCCCACTTCAGCCACTGTTCCCTGTCAGAATAACTGCCAAACTCTCCTGAGGAAGACACTTCTCCTGCTTTGCTCCTGTGGGACTATTCCCTCAGTGGCTGTTGGTAAGCAACCAAGCTTGGTTCTGTCAGTAAAAAGACAAAGGAAGGAAACCCTTTCCAGGCCTCTGTGAGGAACTCATTGGGGCCAGTCCTGACTAGGGTTTCCAGCTCTAGGTTTGGAAATTCCTAGATATTCTGTGTCTAAGGAAGCCAGAGTTTGGGGAGGTGAGAGGCCTCAGCTGAACAGAAACCCACAGAGGCCACCTTCCAAAGCAGTTATTTTCTCCAGGGGGAGAGAGAAATCTGTTGTCTGTTCAGTTGTGATCAACCTCCGCCTGGAGGTTGACTACCTTAGGCATAGCAGTTAGCTCTTCAGAGCAGGGTCTGCCGGACCCAGGTTTTTGCTGTGGAAGCTGACTGGATGATTTCGGACCAGTCTCCCCCGCCCACTGCCAGCTTGGCCACTTTCCTGTCAGAATAAACTGCGAAAACGGCTATCTCTCCTGCATGGCTCCACCATGCCTGGCTGACTAATGAGGTGGGCCAGCAGCCATCAAAACATTCTCTTCAACCCCCTGCTGTGTGGCTGACTTTCCCCTAGGGCTGCCAATCCTGCTGTTACAATTAATCTCCAAATGATAGAGATCAGTTCCCCTGGAGAAAATGGCTGCGTTGGGGGGTAGACCCTATGGCATTATACCCTACTGAGTCCTTTCCCCCCCCCCCCAAATGCTGCCGTCCCCAAATCTCCAGGTATTTCCCTACTCAGAGCTGGCAACCATACTTTCCCCTCAGTGCCTGTTGTTAGGCAACCAAGCTTGGTTCTGTCAGTAAAAAGACAAAGGAAGGCTGCCCTCCACAGGCTGCCGTCCCCAAATCTCCAGGTATTTCCCTACTCAGAGCTGGCAACCATACTTTCCCCTCAGTGCCTGTTGTTAGGCAACCAAGCTTGGTTCTGTCAGTAAAAGGCCCTTTCCACACCTATTTTGGCCTTTAGGAGAAAACTCATTGGGGCCAGTCCTGACTAGGGTTGCCAGCTCCAGGTAGGGAAATTCCTGGAGATTTTATGGTAGAGTCTACAGAAACCATAGAACAGAATGCCATAGAGCCCACCCTCCAAAGCAGTTATTTTCTCCAGGGAGGGGAGAGATCTGTTGTCTGGAGTTCAGTTGTGATACCTGGTGATCTTCAGGCTCCACCTGGAGGTTGGCCACCCTAGGCGTAGTAGTCAGTGCTTCAGAGCAGGGTCTGCTAGACTCAGGTTCTTGCTGTCGAAGCTGAGTGGGTAATTTTGGACCAGTACAGACTTTCAGCCTAATTTACCTCACAGGGTTGTTGTGCAAGTCAAAAGGGGGAGAGGTGAATGATGTAAGCTGCTTTGGTCCCCATTGCAGAGAAAGACTACGTTTCCTCCTGGGGAACCATTGTTGCCAATCTCCAGGTGAGGACTGGAGATAACTCAGAATTACAACTGCTCTCCAGATGGCAGAGATCAGTTCCCCTGGAGAAAATGGTGGACTCTGTGTCCTTATACTCTGCTGAGATGACCCCCCTATGACAGCCAATGTGACGTAGCAGTCAGGGCTTCAGAGCATGGTAGAGGCTGCAGGTGGGTGGGAGATGGAAAGCTGAAGAGTGAGGGGGAAATAAAGGTAGGCTGATAATTGGCTGGGAAGGAGACAGAGTTGCCAACTCCAGGTGGGAAATTCCTGGGGATTAGAGGGATGGCGCCTTGAGATGGTGAGGTTTCGGGTGGGATCTCAGACAGGTACAATGCCATAGACTCCACCCTCCACACCATCCATTCTCTCCTGGGGAACCATTGTTTCCAATCTCCAGGTGAGGGCTGGAGATCACTCATAATTATAACTGCTCTCCAAAAGGGAGGGCAGAAGTCAGCTGAAGTCAGAGGGGCAGATAATGCTAGGTTGATGATTAGCTGGGAAGGAGATGTGGTTGCCAACTCCAGGTTGGGAAGTTCCCGGGAATTTGAGGGGTGGAGCCTGGAGAGGGTGGGTTTGAGGAGGGGTTGGACCTTGGACAGGTACAATGCCATAGACTCCACCCTCCAAACCAGCCATTTCATCCTGGGTAAGAATTGATTCCAATCTCCAGGTGAGGGCTAAAGATCACTCAAAATTACAACTGCTCTTCAGGTAGCACAGATCAGTTCCTCTGGAGAAAATGGTGGACTCTATGTCATTATACCCTGCTGAGGTCACCACGGCAAATTGATACTGAGTGCCCAAGACTAGGGCACTCTCCCAGAGCCTCTTTTTAGAGCTTGTTGTGTTTATTTCCACAACAGGTTTTATTCTTAGTACCACATATATGTCAATTAGAACAATATATTTTTCAATTCAGACATTTCACACTTTTTGCTAAAATTGGTTAAATTTATGTAGTTTGAATGAACCCTTAGGCATCTGAAGATGTCGGATGATTTTTTTAAGATTCCTTGCCAAGAGAGTTGTTGCATTAGACTACTTCATGCATTGGACTTCTTCAGGCTACCTCCTTTCTGGATTCCTTGTCATACAGAAACACTAGATTGAATGTCAAGTTCTACATCTGTAAATGACAGCTTCCATCCCAGGGTTGCCAGGCAATGCCTGGCAGCCAGTGGGAGAATTGTTTGGAGTGGGGAGCATCCTGGGAGAAAAATCAAAAAGAAAAAATAATACCTCATCTACTTACAGGAGGTTCTGACCATAGAGAGTTTCCAGCAATTCCTAGCACAACCTTTTGTCACTTATGGGTAGCTCCAGGAATTGCCAGGAGCCCTGTGGTCAGAACTTCCTGTAAGTAGATGAGGTATTATTTTGCTTTTTGATTTTTCTCCTCATGACTATCGTGCCCCCTGTTTGACCATAATTTTTGCCTGGCGACCAGCTAATCATTGGTGAGCAAGGACCACGGTTACCTGGAGGTCTCCTACAATAAATGTGCACATGGGAGCCCTACGCCTTTCATTTTATAAAAGTCTTACTCCGCACAAGAGCAGATTGAATATCATAAAGCAAATAATCTGCTTTCATTTTCTTTGAGCATGCTTATCATAGTCCATGTGACATAGATTTTGGGGTTAACATAAAACTAGTTTTCAAAGCCCTTTATGGATGTGGTCTTCACATTCAAGTTTTTGTTTTTAATGGTTCATTTCAGGTGCTTTAATTAGGTACATGAAATCTAGTGGCACCTTAAAGACATTTACTTTACTAAAAGCTTTTGTGAGTCACTACTCACTTCCTCACATATGAGGAATATGTGGAAATAAATGTTAGTCTTTAGGGTGCCACTGGACTTTTGTTTTATTTCACTTTGCAGTTAAATAAGTACATCAATTTTAATTACGTACTTAAAGCACTTAATTAAGTGTACCTTTGTACCCTGGGTTTTCAGTAATCCAGACAGTGAGGATGGTAGCAATAAAAGAACTGTCTCCTGGATAATGTCATCACTGTTACAATTACCAGTCTGTTTTCATTAATATATATGTACAAATGGGCAGCCCATGAAGTCTGGCAGGTGGGGATTCTCATTTCCCCATTCCTTCTGTCCCTCTTGATTTTCCTCTTTGCCCCTACCTCTTACAGTGCCTGCAGCTTTACCCTTTACTTTTGATCCACACTCCCGGTTCAGAATGAGATATGATATTAATCTATCTATCTACCTACCTACCTACCTACCTACCCACCCACCCACCATGCAGTCTTGAACACATTGTGTTACTGAAGCAAAATTGTTTTCCTGCTGTACTGCAGAACCAGAACAAAACTGCAGACAATGACCAGGTGAACAGCACCAGTTAATTGGAACCAGATGTGATTCTGTAGCAATGTGCCAAGATTTGGTTAATTGTCCCAGGGACTTTCTGTAACTTGGGGACTTTCTATATTTTGGGCTGAGTCATGAGAGTATCTCTGGCCAATGGGAATAACAAGGGCCATGTAGTTGCCTCTTGGACTGGGTGGGGTGATCAAGGTGGGTAAGAAATTTGGCCACAACTGGTCTGTG